TGAAAGACCCAGGCATACTTCAGCAATTATTATCCTGGTCCCATGACTACTATGGTGATCATAGACACAACTGGGGGCAAGGGTAGTTGTCAAGGACTACGTGTCCTGGTATTGTCATATGAAAGTTCCCAGCACGCTTCAGTAATTATTATCTGGGTCCCATGATTGCTATAGTGATCAGACACAATTGGGGGCCAGGGTAATTGCCAAGGACTAGGTTTTCTAGTATTGTCATATGAAAGTTCCCAGCACGCTTCAGCAATTATTATCAGGGTCCCATGACTGCTATAGTGATCACAGACATCCTGTTTTGAGGGTGAGACACCTAGTCTGGGTTTCTTTCATTAGGCAACGGCCTGGCCTTGCTTTTCTTTTCCTGGGGGTCCTGGGTAGGGGTCTTTCATTCCCCCCTTGTTCTTGTGCATAGATAGAATCTTTTACCTATTGTCCAGCCCTCTCTACTTAAGGTTTACTTATGGTTCCATCTGTTTGAGGGCATGGTATTGTTGAGTTAGGACTAAGGCTTGAATTATTGTTTGTGAATGTAGGGCCCAAAGGTTGGGAGGCCCATAAGAGTAGAGACTAGTGTAGCGAACCAGGGGGATTTGTTAAACCAACCCTCATACCAGTATTGTTGGGATTTAAATTTTTTTCTGGCGAACAGTGAGCCTCTCCTTGAGTTTATCCAGAGTTTTGGTTACTACCCCAGTCTTGTCTGCATAAAAACAACATTCCTCTTTGAGAGTGGCACATATGGCTCCCCCTCTTATTATATTGTTCCCTATGTAAGGGAATTTTTTTTCTTTTGACTTTGCATCTCAACCAGGGGAAAGAGGGCGATGTATTCCTTTCCATGCTACTTCTTGCTGACTTTGGGACGAAGTTAGGGGACCCAAGAAGGCTGAAATGCAAGTCAAAAGCAAAAAGGGAATTTAGGCAATGGGGTTTCTATCCAGGAGCAGCTGATTGGCAGACTGTGTTGAAGAGACAGGGGGTGTCCACATCAGCTGAACTGGTTCACATCCACAGCAAGTCTAGGGCTCCGCAGTCTTTAGGAGCAGGCTGTGGTCAGCAACTGATGTTCAGATGTGTTTGCCAGAAGTGGAAACCTGTTTAAGACATGTTTAAAACTGGGAACAGAAGTTAAAACTTATGTATTTAATTGGAACTCTTTAGACCCATAGTATTAGTGATCAGGAAGGTCAGGAATCCCATGACCAGGAGAGAAAATCTCATTCTCAGGAACAGACAGGTGGGATAACTGGCTGTACTTATCTGGAGTCCTCTTTGACCTGTGAGAAGTAGATCCAAGCTGTATGACTTTTGATCCTCTGAAGCCTATATAAATTTTTGTTATACAAAAGGACATAAAGGTTATAGGTACATTAGCATTATCAATTGGTACTGAAATCTACATTGTAGAAAAAGCAGATATCTGGGTATCTGTATTTTGTCCTAGCAGAAACTACAGATTTGGGCTAGTAGTGTACATTTGTCTTCTGTCCAGGGAGCCAAGTATGAATTGGACAGAGGTATCTATGGCATGATGAAAAGCCCTTTATGTTTATACTTAGATGACAACCAAAATAAACTTGAAAACCTTGAGCTTATGACTGAACAAGTATTTACATCCTTTGATCCTTATTGAGACATATTAAGGCTTGATTTTTACATAAATAAAATGATCTACCAAGCTGACTATAGTCTTGTGGATTTGACTGCCTAATGTCAAGCTGACAACAATTAATACTTTTAGAGATCTGAGAAGGATAATTTTTATACAGTCTTCGAATCTATTAAAAAGTGCCAGGTACCAGTTCATATACAGCCATACCCAAGTCTCCTCTATTAGCACTGGAGGCACAAGTATCAGGAACAGCATCAATCTCTACCAGGCCTGTAAGGTGAGTTTTCTTTCTCTCTGTGGAAGAGGGACATGGAAAAGACTGACCTTGTTTTGTCTCGGCAAAAGGGGTGCAATCAATTTTCCAGTGTCCAGCAGCTTTGTCCACATTCTGGGCCAGGTCCTGGAAGCAGCAGGTGTCACCTTTGGGCATCTTGCTCACTGGTTAGAGTTAACACAATCCAGGTGTAGGGACCAGGGTGCCTCGTAATCTTCTTTGGAGACTTCGGGTCACTGTTAGGATCTGGCAGTCTGTCTGATATTATAAACTTTTAAATTAACATTTTAAATGCCATGTTCTTCAGGTCTCTGAAGTATTAGAGGCTTGTCTGCCTTAAGCTTAACTGTTAAAAGTATAAACTTTATTAACCTTTATAAAACTATAACTATATATTGTTAGGTCTAGCTTTAAACATTTTAACAGTATAAATATCTTATAACCTTATAAATTGAAAACATTTTTAAAACTTCTGAAATCCCTTAATGTTTTTATTTAGGCCTTTAAAACCATTATTATCTGGGTGACTGTTAAATTATAAAACTTAGTATTCCTGTGTATAAAAGCATTAACATTTTAAATCTGAATAAAAACTTGTTGATAGGATGGTACCTCATAACTTCCATGTGGTCACCTTTAGTTAAGATGGTGGATCAGGTATCTCTTTTAACTTTAGTAAAATGGCTACCAGCCAGCCATGTGGCCAGCGTGGCATGTGACTGAATGTAAAACGGTGGCGACCTGCACCACTTTTGTTTTAGCTCTATGCTTGCAATAAAACTTAGATTATGACAGAAAATACAGATAGAACTTTTTAACAAAACAAGCATACATAATTTTTGAGAGATTAATTTTTAAAATTTAGCATTTGTAGAAATGAAACATCATAGTAAACAGTTTACATTTTTTTCTCTTGTAGTTATAACTTTAAAGCCATTTAGTTTCTGTGGAAAGACCGGATCTGGCCAAATGGCTTACCTGCTCCAGCCCTGTGTGTTTGAGCAGGGAGTCACCCAGAGATGTTGACTTAAGGCAATTCCTCTTGAGTGGACATTCTCAGTTACAGACATTTGTTTACCTTTTTAAAATTTTGCTTTTTAAGACAGATTGGAAAAGCTTCTTGTCATGGCTTGTAAACAGTTCTTGAAGTCTTGGTGAGGCGAATCTATACTGTCCTGCATACTTTGCATATCTACAGTTAACATGGCGTTGGACTTCTAAAGCATCCCCCCATCATTTACAGAATGTGCTTATTGGCTTGAAGTCTCATCTGCAGCGCCACTGACATTTGGGACTACGTAGTCCTTTTTTGTGGAAGGTGGAAGCTATCTGGAACATTGTATTAATTTGGAGGTATCCTTGTATGACACTAACAGATGTCCATAGCACCCCTTAGTTAGGACAACAAAAACTATTTCCCACCATTGCCAAATGTCCCCTGGATGGGAGAACAAAACTGTCCCTGTTGAGAACCACTCATTTAGAGTTATTTTGGGGTGTATTCAAATATTAAAATATCTTGAAGCTAAGAGTTTATAATGACTATGTCTTGAGCTAAATTTCTTCTGTGGCGTGACAAGGGAGGACAAAATTTATTTGACTTTTGCTTTGTTAGCAAGCTTTCTTAATACAAATGTAGTATTAGTTTGAAATTGGTTCTTCATCCAATTTGAATTATCAAAGTGTGAGAAGCCATGAATAAAGAGTATATATGCTAAGTTTGTGGAGCAATGCGTGTGTTGGGGTGGGCTGTACTACCGGATAAGTTGTACTAACATAGTCACTGAAGATAAGTCCTGATACAAAACAGACATTCCCAAATATTTGTTGAATGGAATGACCATCGATAAAGAGTCAGATGCATGAAACATCTGCTCTTGCTGACCTTTTTAGTGGGAACAGTATTTTATCAGTACTGAACAGAAAGATGACAAAGAGTCAAGAAATGCTGTCTTGGTTTTGAACTTTTTAGAGTCAATCTCATTCTTCTGTGTGCCCTGCCCCAGAACCTGCCTAGCCCTTTTCACAACCTGTCCCCATTTTTGTTCCTTTTCATGCCATATTTCTCCTTTTAGCTTTATAGTTTGAATGAATTTTCCTTGAGTGGATTTTTCTTGAGCTTCCATATTACATCATTTCTTTGAATCTGGCACTGTGATACCATTGGGGAACATGCCCACCATGTTTGACTGTGAATTGCATCTGGGTATTTCTAGCCATTTCTGCTTACTCTTTTTTCTTTGATTATTTCTGTCAAACTAGTGACAGGGTTCCTAACCTTTGCAAATAACTTCCCTTTGGTTTTCTAGTATTATTGTATTCCACTGATAAATTATTCTAGAACAATTCAAGTCTTCGATGAACAGAACCCACACTGGTAACTTTGACTGGTGGATGGATTTCATGTCTAAAGATTCAGTAATGAAATGTATTTTCTCCATTTTGTAGTTCAAAACTCGATTTTTGAGATGAAAGATATGGGAATTAACCTAATTGTTTCATTATGTAATGTATATGTGTGCTAAAATATCACATATACCCCACAGATTTCTATAAGTATTGTATATAAATAAAAATAAGCTAAGGTGGGGTATGTGGCTCAGTGCTAGAGTTCAGGCTTTGTGTTCCTGAATTGGTGGATTAATCCCAAGCAGGTCCCAAAATAAAATCAGATGAAATAAATCATAACTTGTTAAGACTTCATACTTGTTAAGACACAGAATGAAGTGTTTTCCAATGAGGAGTTCTATGAGGGTCCAAGTCACTAGACTCAGTCTATTGAATCAAAGTGTACGGTGAGATAGAGGCAGGATAGATACTTTGATGTTAAATCAGTTTAATCCATTCTATGAAAGCAGAAACATTTTCTTTACATTTTGTTGTAAGTTTAAAGAAATAACTATAGAGGGTGACTACTTCATGGTACCAAAAGTTTGATTAATGGAGTATTGTCTCTAAAGTAAATCCACTTGCTATTAAAAATGATCTTTTTAGTTTCATTCTCGACCTTGCATGAGTTTCTCTCTCTCTCTCTCTCTCTCTCTCTCTCTCTCTCTCTCTCTCTCTCTCTCTCTCTCTCTCTCTCTCTCTCTCTCTCAGGCCTTCTCTGACCATGCCTCATAGGAATCTGACAGGGAGCTGCAATGTTAATTGTGGTTGTAAAATACACGAATATGAGCCAGTCTGTGGATCAGATGGAATCACATACTTCAACCCATGCCTGGCTGGCTGTGTTAATAGCGGCAATCTGAGCACAGGGGTGAGTATACTCCACAACTCTCTCTTGTATTGTTAGCCAACACCCTGAGGCAAGGATGCACCAATGATGACTTATTCATGAGGCTCCAAATAGCACCTCTGAAAAACACATCAAGAGAGGCAAATTGTGCAGGGCTATCACTATTGTCAGGGCTGCTGGGAGAATCCGGGTAGATAGAGGACCAGAAGGTCCTCACTAGCTGCCTCCTACTTGATGTCTGTGCCAACTCAGTGAAACTTGATAAGGCTGGGCTTCCCATTTGTTCCTCTGGCAGGGTCTTTGTAATGGATTTGAAGGTCAAGGTGACTAGAGTCAGGGCTGAAAAAAGATGAGAGACTGTGGAGGCTGGTCCTCTAACTGGTGTCTGTGAAGATGGGTGATGGCCATTTTTCATAAGACTCTCCCTCAGTTCACTCACCCCATCCCCTCCCCGCCCCTTAACTCAGAGTAAAGATATTTCTGTCAGCTGAAGAATAGTCTATTTTGAGAAGTCTCTTCCCTGTGAATTATAAATAGGCTTTAATACTGTGGGAGAAGGTTTTCATATTCTACTCTATTCTTTACTGAGCCTAGTTTGGCTGTTGGCAAGGGAACAGATTGGAGGCGATTACCTTAATTTAAAGGCTAAAATGCATTTGCCTGTTCTGTGCAGGTTCTAGAGACTATATCATTGACCTAGAGTTTAGAGATTCTACTTTTGTTTTTTGAGTTTGAAACCGGAGGTTAGGTTGGAAATTACTATTACATAGTTGGTGAGCTCTGGAGTGTGACCCTATTGAGCTCATGAGATTGTTTCTTAGCAGTGATCCATGCAGTGCTGTATGGCAGTGAGTGAGACCTCCTGGGCACACTGTTTTTTATTATAAAGACTGCATGTCCTTCCTGCTTAAATGGCCAACCCCCCACCAATCTGTTCTTATCCCTGTTTTGAGCAGTCACCATGAGAACTAGTTCAGCTTATTTTCATTCAGTAAAAAGTAAGATGTCAGGCAAAGAGATAATTGACCATATTGCTATTTGTTAGCTAGTTTGGATACTGAATGTTTGGAAGACCAGTTCTGGGGAGTTACTGGAGAAGATTTAGTCTCCTTTGCTCCTCTGTCTTCAGTGCCCTCTAATGGCATGTCACACTTCAGTAGGGATTCATAGATACGTGCTGTGAAAAATGAACAAATGATGTTGGGCATAGCATGGTTTTTAGACAGCAGGAGTCTGCCTGAGTCCAGAACACTGGGACAAGGCTACTGGAGTGATGAGTACTCCAGTCATACACATGGAGGTCACCAGCATGTTGAAGGGATTGAGAGGGAATTTAAACTGGAATAGCCAAAGGGAAGTTCATCATCATTGGTACTGTGACTAGGCCATACCACTCTGTATGTTTGATACCATCACTCTTGGGCTAGGAGTTTTACATATGTTTATTTTAGGACTCACTGTGAGCTCAAACTTGTGCTGGGCTTCTCTAAAGTTCCACAGCAATCAAAGTCGTGTATATTTATGACCTCAAATGAGCACATGGTATATCAGTGTCACAGAATTGAGTGTTTAAAGCTTCTTGGGGAAGTTTAGGTTCAGACAGGCTCTGATGTTATTAAGGTGAACTTTGACCCTTTATTGCTGTTAAGAAAACAAAGTGTTTGCCAGGCAGTGGTGGCACATGCCTTTAATCCCAGCACTAGGGAGACAGAGGCAGTCGGATCTCTGTGAGTTCGAGACCAGCCTGGTCTACAAAGCTAGTTTCAGGACAACCTCCAAAATCTCGAAAACCAAAAGAAAAAAAAAGAAAGAGAAAGAAAAGAAAGTGTTTTGTGTGCAATATTGCGCATTTAAAGTCCTGTAGTTCTTTTTTAGCATTTTTATTTCGTCAACATTCAAACTCCAGGTTATATTTTTGATTGGCAGGCAATTTATCTTTTTTGCTACTCAGGTTCGGAATTATACAGAGTGTGCCTGCGTCCAAAGCCGACAAGTGATCACCCCGCCCACAGTGGGGCAGCGCAGCCAGCTCCGCGTGGTCATTGTGAAAACCTATCTCAACGAGAACGGCTATGCCGTATCTGGGAAGTGCAAACGCACCTGCAATACCCTCATCCCCTTCTTGGTCTTCCTTTTCATAGTTACCTTCATCACAGCCTGTGCCCAGCCGTCAGCCATCATAGTGACACTCAGGTAAGAATAGCGCCCAACAAGTGCTGAGGGGAGCATATTGCAGAGGACCGAAGCTAAGCAAACTGGGGGACAGTGAGAGTAGCGTGCAGAATGGCTCCCCACATTTCCTGCTGGCCTTAAGGGAGAGCTTCTACATCAGAGAGAAAAAGATGACCGAAGCATTGCCTATTCTAGAATTTCCTTTTTTCACCTGGGCTCCTTCCTGTTATCTATCAATCTTTCTTCCCAGTGCTTTTAGTGTCTGAAGTCTTTGTGCTATGAGGTTAGACATCATGAATTGAAAGCCATCTCTATGTTAGCTCCAAGAAGCCAGACCCTCGAGGAAGGTGGAAATAGTTTGGCAAAGTGGCTAGATCGTGAATATTGCAGAGGTATTGTCTCCAGCCTCATGGAGAGTTAATACTACACCTCTGGGATCAATGAGGAATTATGCTGGGTTTGCATTTGAAAATGCTGAGTTCATTAATTTTGCTATTGTATGAAGTCCTGGAGCTGAATCAAGGACAGGATAGACTTGGACATGTGAGCCTCCAGTTGGTCAGGCTGCGCTTTTATTGCTGCATTGCAGATCCTGGTTGTTTTTTTTTTTTTTTTTTCCTCCTAGGAGAGGACATGGAAGCTACTTTCGTTCTGTTGTGTTCAGATATATTCATTATTCCTTGAGTTAAAGGCTGAGGTGGGCAGAGTAGGAGAGGGTACTGTGGTAAAGCCTGGAGAGCGAGCACCCTGTGGGTTAGAGGGGAGCAGGGATGTGCTGTATTGAAAACATGAGGAAGGGAGTCAGTCCTTGTTCTTCTTTCTGGTTTTTCCTGGGTCACAATGCCAGGTACCTGGCCAAAAGAACTGTGTTCACTGCAAGTGGGTAGCCTGTATCCCCACCTCACACACACACTCTGGCTTCTTTCTCATTGATGCTGAGATAGACATTTCCTGAATAGAAGAAAGCAGGGCATGGAAGGCCTACTGTTTATTCACTGTCAGTAGATGTTGATGGAGTAGCCATGATTGCAGAGCAGGCGAATCGCTAGGAGAATAGAGAATATGAGGGAAAGACAGCAACAGCTCTGGGCATGGAAAGATTTCCCATCCCACTCCCAGAGCCTCTGTGGATGAGATAAAAAGCATGAAGTACTTCATCATCTAGAAAGGGTGTGGTCCATTAATAAATTCACTTACTCTTTTTCCACTGTAATTCTATAAGTAGCATTAAGTAGACTGTATAAGGCCACCTCACTTATGAGTCGGCTTCTAACACCACATCTCTGAAGAGAGGTCTTTTAGTCTCTGCTAATTGCAAAATCAATAAGTTCCAACCTTCCTACCACATGGGAATTACTTAGAACATCAACTTTAGGGAGAGAATGTGCCTTGAATAGACTTAGGTCTCTGGCTTTTCATTTATGTGTGTGTGCATGCAAGTATGTCTGTCATTTCTGTTTTTACTTTGTCTTAGTTAGGGTTTCTATTGAGGAAAAACCAGAACCAAAATTTGTAATTCTTAATTCCCTCCTTTTAGATAATTCCAGCTTGTATCAAGTTGACATAAAATTAGCCAGGACATACATTTTTTTCCTCTATCTTAGAGGAATTATGAGAATGGTTTTCATTGGATACATCTTCAATTCTGAAACATCCTGACAGACAGAGAAAGAGAATAAGAGACTGCAATGATTAGGCTAAATATTTACATGTTTTTCATAGGAGAAGGGATTGGGGGGCTCATTTAGAGGAGCCCCCATTTCTTCAGCCAAGAGTTTTGCCCTTCCTCCATAATTCATACAGAAAAGGAATTAATCAGTCTCTGGAGACATGTCTAGCCTGTGTTTCACCCAGGGAGTCTAGGGTGGTGATTGTTAGTACATTCTAGTGGATTAAATATTTTGGGAAAGTATCTTAGTGTACGGCTCTGACTAAGGCAGGCTGATTTTACTGGCATCCTCTTGGAGCCACTGTTTTAAAACATCATTTCCTTGTCCTTTCCTCTAGGTCCGTGGAAGACGAGGAAAGGCCCTTTGCATTGGGGATGCAGTTTGTTTTGTTGCGAACACTTGGTATGTTCCTGGATTTCCCCCGTGTGCCCTTCATTTCCTTCTGCAGCAGGCAAATGCTGTGGCCCTTTAAAAATGCAGGCTGAGCCACTCAGGGCTGTGGCAGGTAGAACTTGACAGGTTTGTGGTGGAGAGAGCGGTTTCACTTCCTCAGTTTTCCATTAGAACTAAAAGTTGACAAGGTCATTGGACAAGACAATAGAAAGTAGATTTAAGGTTAGTTTCTTTTTCACTCTGAATATACAAACTTGTACAAAAATTCCCCCGGAGTTTTATACACAAAGGAATATGAGATCAAGACATTTGCAATGGCCTTGCTATCCTGGCTCTTTGGTCTCTTGCTGCCTTCTGACACGGATGTGAGAGAAACGAGTGTAAATTACTAGTGACACTTTTCATGTCTCACTGCCTTAGGGTGATTGAAGTGTACACCTATAGAGTTTTCGATGAAACAATCTTAAGGCCACAAAAGTACAGAGAGACTTCCCACACCAGCAAGGACAGCCCTGTGCATCAGTGTGAACAGAGCACGAGGTTAACGCATCACTCCTTGAAGTCTCAGGGCCCTGAAGTGGGAAATGGACCTGGAAACTGCCCACTGCTTCATCATTGTGACAGCCCCTCAGCTGACTTCCTCAAGCTTAGTTCTCTTAAGTGGCAGTCTGTCATTTTCTTCAGCTGGTGTTCCCCTCGCTAATCAGAACCATTGTCCATGGGACAAGGGAAAAAATTGGTTTGTTTTTAACTCTCATTTCAGTTTCGAAGGGTAAAATATCTTGAAATGGCACCTTCCTCCCTTTTGAAGCACCCACACTCCCTAGAATTGCTTGCAGTGAGTCAGGGTGGTGGCCTGAAGGCCCCAGCTGAGTACAGTAACCTCCAGCAGGAAGAAGTCCCTGGTGTGGTTTGTTGTTTGTGCCTATGAGACTTCGTTACTGGTAAAGAGGACGCTGGAAAAGAGGACTCAGACACAACTGCACACAGTTGAGAATTATGTCTTGTGCTTTCTACTGTTGTTGTTTAGGGTTCGCATTTATTTATTCATTTTTGACCCGGTCTTGCTGTGCATATAGCCCTAGCTGGCCTGGGATTTCCTAGGTGTACACCTCATGCTTATAGTGATTTCTTTTCTGCTCTTCTTCTCAAATGTTGAGATTACAGTTGGGTACCACATGCCTGGTTTAAAGAAGATGTTTTCAAAGACATGAATTTGTCAATCAAAGTGATGAGTGAGTTAAAAAAAAAAGAGGAAAAAAATCTTTATGTTGGCTCTGATCCTCTCTGAAGGGAGCTGGGTTATTTGACATGAATTTGGGGTAGAGGACAGCCACCTGCGTAATCATTAATAATCCAGGAAAGAACAACATCTGACGCCTGGTACTCAACTCAGTTTTGTCTTCATTTATATTGAGTGTGCAGAAGTGTAGTTAAGCTAACTACCTGAATTTGACTTTTCCCAAATTTCAAAACAAAAGGCTTCTTAATCCTTTAAGAAAGATATCATTTAATCTTACCAGTAGGCTTTATTTTAAAGATTGATTTTTATTGTTTTTAACTATGTGCATTTATGTGTGTCTGTGTGTAGGTCTGTGCATGGGAGTACAGATGCCACAGGAGGCCAGAGGTGTTGGATGCCATGGAATTGGAGTGAGGGTGGTTGTAAGCTGCCTATGTGGGTACTGGGAACCTAACTCATAACTCTGGAAAATCAGTTGGCTCTCTTAGCTGCTGAGCAATGAGTCCCTGCAGCCCCTAGACCTCATTTTCAATAAGCAGAAATTACTTTAAAATGTCACATTCACAGACTCATGAGCTTTCTATCTTCCTTCCTTCCTTCCTTCCTTCCTTCCATCCTCCTCTCTCTCTCTCTCTCTCTCTCTCTCTCTCTCTCTCTCTCTCTCTCTCTCTCTCTCTCTCTCTTTCTTTTTGATAGAGGATTTCTTTGTGTAGCCCTGGCTATCCTGGAACTCACTCTGTAGGCCAGATTGGCCTCAAAATCACAGAGATCTGCCAGTCTCTGCCTCCTGCCCCCGCCATGTCCTTTTCCATTTCATCCATCTTTCTTGTCTTCCCTCCTTCTTCACCTGCTTCAACCTATCCAGGCCTTACCCCTGTGCACTGAGCAGTCATGGACTGTAACATAAGTTTTTGGATGCAATCCCAGAAAGGAGTAGGCTCTGTACATAGAACTGTATGGGGTGACAAATGGCAGAGGCTTTAAGCAAATGTTCTTCAATAGTTGATGACACTGAGGTACATGCAAGACACAATGGCAGCAGAGTGCTGTCCATATGATCCAGGGGTTCAAAGGCAGATGAGTGAATTAGAGGTGGGGGCACAGTTTTGGCAAAGGGTGTGGTGGAATTCTATCTAGTTAAGCTTGAGTTCTTGAGGGATTAAAAGAGGAGCCTGTCACACACAACTCAGACATCAGAGCTTCTACTCCTCCTGGATTTTTAGAAGCTTCAAAGATGTAGGCAGAGGCTATCTCCACACACCAAACACCTTTGTGAAGTTACCATTGGTAGTGGGTCTTGTCAGCTTCAGCGGGTCTGAGTGGATGTGCAGCCCTATGCTGTATCCTTTAGTGGCCTGCCAAGCTTGCTGCATCAGAGAGCCCCAGTCGGGAGAGGTGGGGTTCTTCACTAAGCTAGAGAAAAACATTCAGGATGAGTCAGTAGGAAGTTCAGTCAAGTTTACTTATCAGACACTCCATGATACTTGAGCATGGCCCATGCTGGTGGCAGGTGCTTAGGACAGAGACTTAGGACATGTGGTGCTGGGCTTCATGGGACAGTGTAGCAATCTAGTGTCTTACCACTAGCCATATACCCAATTTTGGTGGCCTCTGAACTTACTGTGTTTAAAGAGCTTCTAAAAAACTTAAAAAATGTTTTTATTTTTTCAGTAAATGAGATCAGAGGGTAGCGTTTGAAGTGCATTGGATGGGATTGTAGGCTATTAAGACAAAACCATAGGTCACAGGGTTGAATACCCCCATTAGACAGGCTCACCACGGAGTTAAGATATATTTTCACTATAAGCAAGGTCATGATATTATCTGTGACAGTCTCAAATAAACAAACAAAAATAGGTGTACAGCTGAGAAAGGTCCTTAACTAACATGTAGGCCTTTTGCATGCTTTTTTCTTTTGCTATTTTAACATTCTTTTTTGAAATACCTCCATATAATATTGTCTTTATGTAGACAATCTTTACAGTTTATTTTGTTAATTGTGCTGAACTTGTGTGTGTGTGTGTGTGTATGTGTGTGTGTGTGTGTGTGCTGTGGTGGTGAGTGTGTGTGTATGTGAGTGTGTGTGGTGAGTGTGTGTGTGTGTGTGGTGAGTGTGTGTGTGAGAGAGAGAGAGAGAGAGAGTGTGTGTGTGTGTGTGTGTGTGTGTGTGTACTGTTGGTGGTGTGGGACTTGTGTTGAGACCAGAGGCTGACATTCAGACATCTTCCCCAATTGTTTTTCTACTTTATTATTTACTTATATATTGTTACAGGGTCAAACTACATATTCCTGGCTGACCTAGAACTTACTGTGTAGCCCAGACTGGTTTTGAGCTCACAGACATCCTCCTGCCTCTGCCTCTGGAGTGCTTCGATTAAAGATCTGCCCCACCACATGTAGCTCTATCTTCTTTTTTGAGACAAGGTCTCCCTGAACCTGAGCTAGTTGACTATTTTGACTGGACTGGCTGGCCAAGGAACCCCCGGGGGTCTGCCTGTCTCTTCCTTCCAGCTCTGAGGTGACAGACACTTGCTGCCATGACAAGCTTTTCTTTTCTCTTTTCTGTTTAATGTGGGTTCTAGAGATCTGAATTCTTGTCCTCACACATACACAGCAAGGACTTTACCCACTGAGCCAACTCCCCGGCCCTTTGTGCTGAAATTCTTGACTCTAAGCTTCAAGAGACTCAGCCCAGCCTCCAGGGTGAAAGGCCTCTTTCCTTTCCCATGTTCCTTTAGCACCTCCTGTCTTTCTATCCTGCTCCAACCTGACTTATGGGGAACAAGACGAGTTTTCAGTTTGTAAGGATTTTGTGTTGGTATTTTTGATGATAGACAGTTCTTTCAACTCTACTGAAGTTTCATTGTCAAAATTCTATCAAAAGCATCCAGTGGAAGGACTTGGTAACCATACAAAGCAGTAGTTATTTTTATCAACCTAAAAAACAATAAGACAGTCTGAGGTGTAAAGTGGAAAATGCTACGTCTTTGGTGTTTATTTTCATAAGTAAATTGCAATTAGATGAAAACGTCATTAAGAAAATTCAATTAAACAAAAATCATTCTCTTGGCATTTGACAAACCTTGCTAATTACGAATCTGTTTTCTCTCATGCAGTGTAACTATATCTTTCTGTTTCTCTTTCTCCCCATGACTGCAGCATACATTCCTACTCCAATTTACTTTGGAGCCGTGATTGACACCACCTGTATGCTCTGGCAGCAGGAATGTGGAGTGCAGGGGTCTTGCTGGGAGTACAATGTGACATCATTTCGTTTTGTCTACTTCGGTTTGGCGGCTGGCCTCAAATTTGTTGGCTTTATTTTCATTTTCCTGGCCTGGTACTCTATCAAATACAAAGAGGATGAATTGCAGAGGCGGAGGTGCAGAGAATTCCCGCTGAGCACTGTGAGTGAGCTAGTGGGCCAGCCCAACAAAGCTGAGAAATACGCCCGGACTACATCATGCCCAGCCTTCAGCACCCAGGGGGACTTCCATGAAGAAACTGGTCTGCAAAAGGGATTCCCAGGCACCACACAGACTTATCCTGGGCCTTTCTCAGAAGCAATAAGTTCCTCTGCAGACCCCGGGCTGGACGAGAACCCCAGTGCTGCTCTGTGACGTCCCTGCTGAAGCCTGGAAAGGGAAGACATGTGTTGTTGGTTGAGTTGAATATGGCGAGTTGAGAAACACCTGTGCCTTCTATATTCTTTTTTTAAACCTCCACAGATACAATCCTCAAACCAACAAAACGCACTATACACAGCCACTATTGATTGAGGGCTGGATACCTCAACAAGACTGAAAGCCTTCCCCCTCTTTTGTCCAGGGAGGAGCTTAGATACATCTGTTATCACTTCTGCTGTGTTCATTTAATGCTCATGCACTGTTTGGTAGAAGCCTGAGGTCCATGGTTAACCATGGGAAAGGCTATGACCACGCATATCATTAGCATACACTTCAGAGAAAGGTGAGCTTGGCCATGACTTTGCATGCTCAAGTCAGAGTTTTTAGATTTGAACACCTACTGTGAGTTCTGCTCCAAAGCACAACTGAATTTGCCTCAACTATGCAATTGGATCGGAACAATGGAAGTGTGGTATGCCCCTTTGGCTTTCAGAGAATAAAGCAGATATGTTTTTGATAATAGGAAGCTGAATGTTTCCCTAAAGCACTGGTAATAGCATTTTAAGCCATAGCAGACATATCAATCAGGTAGAAAAATTTCAAATGCTTCAAAGAACTGTATACACAATGTAATGAATGATCACAGAATTTCCTGAGATATAGTTTTCTCTTAGTCTGTTTACTCCATCATAAGGTAGATCAAGAGGCTGCTGAATCATACATCTGGTAGCTTGAATATTTAAACTACAGTATTCTTTCATAAGGGGCTTTAAAACTAGTGTGCTAAACAATATGGCTAGAAACTGTAATTTGAAATGTTTAACAAGGAAGAACATGATGGCTTTATCATCTGAGAAAATGGCTGTCAAAATTCAACTCTGAAGAACCCACTGAAAGTAGCTAAGAGTTACTACTACTTTGACATGAAAGTAGTTGATTAAAAATTTCCCAGGGTTAGATTGAATCCCTACTGGGGATTTATTTCACTTATACCCTCAACATACTGGCAAATCTCTACTGATTTTTTCTGAATAGAAAATGGCCGTGGTTGCTTCAGAAAGTGAATAATTCAGTCAGGAAGACTGTACCTGGGATATAACAATCACTGTAGAGGAGATGGGAGATTTGTCAGCTGAACACAAAATAAGATCCTACATTCAGTAATGAGTTAGGATGGTATAGCAAATGAGTCTACCGTACTGAGTCCTACTTTCTCAGAGCTGGCATCATTTCACAGTGCCCCTGTACTCATATCCTTCCTGCAGGGATTCTGAGACTGGCTATTTCCCTTCCTAAAGGCACCTTGGGTTCATCGACAGTCATTCATGGACTGCACTATCACTTGTCTTAGGCACTACTCAGGGTGCTTCCTGTATGGATCTTAAGATGGAGGCCTCTTGACAGTGTTTATGCATTGATGGATGGTGACTCATGGGATCTGACTGCAGGGGACCAAAAGACGAAATGTGTCATAAAATTGAGACCTCTCTGTCAAGCAACTTGTGTCATGTAAAGTGAACTTGGGAAATGTTTTCTCATCTGGAAGAGAGAGGCTGGCAGACTGGCTATGATTTGGACTTTTGTACCTGCATTCTTGGCAGGCCACACAAGCAGAGTTGTGAGAATGTTCCTAGGTATAGGATTGAGTTCCTGTCCATGCAGGAAGGCCACTAGTCAAGTGGTTTTCTGGAGACCCGGGATTCGTGGAGGAGGCCTTCACTATTAGACTGAATAGTGTCTATAAGAAACAAGAGATTTTGTCCAGTGTGACAAACATGAAAGATTTTCATAAAAATAGTACAGATTAGTCCAGGATGTACTCTCGGGACTCCGTGTCCCTCTTTGCCATCTGTAGATGATCTTAAACCTTTAGAAGGGATAGGTTTCCTTTGGTGCCGATACTAAGATATGTAGGTTTGGAAAGGTCATGCTTTTTTGATTTTTCTGTGATAAAGATTTTAAGAGGCTTCTGCTGGAATTGGTCCCGGTTTGGTATTAAGATGGCTGGATTCATCAGGGGTAATTAGAAAGGCCCTGATCCCTTTCTCTTCCTTGAATTATGTTCAGCAACTGCTGCCTGGGCACCAGCTATGTGTTGATACTAATTACTGCTCTATGGAGTCCTTTGGGATGCTAAGTCCAGAGCTCAAAGACATTGACCTGGGATGTGCACTACCATTTGCGAATAGAACTTCCTGATAACTATAATAGCTGTTGGTGAATGTGGAGTAAGTAGGGAAGGTCATGAAGTTCTGGGTTATGTACCAATTAAGGATTGCGCCCCACATGCTTTGGGCTCTTGGTCGCATCCTCAGATGATTACATAGCCAGTAAGTTGACTCTTGTAGTTGTACATATAGAAGAGGTCTTCTAGTAACCTGGTTGTGTTACTTGTAGTCACAGCTCCTAACAGAGATTTTAATTGCTGCTTTCTGAGCATGGGCTTTGAATTACTTGTTTTGACAAGAGGACTCCTTGTTCTTCCTTCAGCTCTATCAAATAATGTGTTGTTTGGCTTTAATATGCAAATGCCATATTAAGCTCATTGATTTAGGAACTCCCAAGGGCTGAGGGAGGAGGGTGTTGGAGAACCTATTTTGATTTTCTTCCTTCATGTGATGTCTTGTTCCTTGGAGGTGGAGTTAATGTTTAAAAAAAGAGTCAAAAGTCACTGGGCATGCTGTGGGGGATGGGGAGAAAGGGAAGTGAGGAGACAGATTAGCATTTGGTGTGGTGACTATCTGCAGAATAGTTTCCCATCATGCACCATCCATTTCGTTTCTCTCTTTAAGAACATGCAAACACATTCTTCAGCAGTGCTGGACTGAGCTCATTTCTCCCTTGAACAGCAGGCCTGCCTTCTCTGGCGTGGATTTTTGTACCTTTGTTAGTTTTTTATAGATTTGAACCCGAGACTCAAAAGTTGAAGCCAGTCTTTTAGGATGGTGCCGAGTGTCTAAACTGTTCACTTACAATACTTAATACAGTTCATGGTAAACAAAGGCAAAAAGCCCACTGTAAAGTAAGCTAGCACGTGTCACTTTTTGATGTAGTATTGTTTTTGAAGAATAGAGACAGTCTTCAAAATAGAGACATTTCCTTGTATAAACAGAAAAAAAAAAGCATAGCACATACCTGTGGGAGCATCCACACTCAGTGTTTAACTAGATTTTTCAAGGTAAATTTCATTTATGTAGCCAAATATGATATTAAAACCATCTGTTGTAACTTACCTCAATGTTTATTTATAGGTTGTGTTTAATTTAGGACACGTCCACTTTGGGTATTAATTAGGATCTTAGCAGAATTTCCTGAAATGAATTTTTATGAAAAAAATGATTAGTTCTGATTGATTGTATCTGAGCTTTGGGGGTTATTTATGTTTTTCTCCTGTCAGTAGATTAGCATTTTTGTTTGTAGACAACAATGAGTTTTCAGATTCTTAATGAAGACTTTTAAAAGAACATAGAAAATATATACCAAGCCACCGACCCCATCTGTTACCTCAAGTGGCTGTGACAGTAAACTGTATCCTTGCACTCAGGGAAGCCAGCACCCGCAGAAGTTTCTAGAGTAGGGCTCCCAAGAAATCCTACGTTTCACCAACCATTCAAAGTTTCTTGTTTGGTCCACAATTCTAGCTCACAGTCTTTAGTGAACTTTCAGGCAGGAAGTGTCTTTTTCTGTGTTTGAGGCTGCTTTGTAGAAAGAACCCCATGTGCACCAAGGAACAGTAACACAGTGTGGAGGGGACCCAAAGGCCTTGTGGTAACTCTCCCGTGAGCCCTGGAGCAAGGCAAGCCCTTGCGTATTGCGTGCATGCGTGCGTGAGTGCGTGCGTGTGTGCGTGTGTGCGTGTGTGTGTGTGTGTGTGTGTGTGTGTGTGTGTGTGTGTGTGTGTGTGTGTGGTCAGAGGCGCAGAACGTGAAGGTAACCATTGCTGCATAGGTACATGCTGAGTGTTCTAAGTAGCAGATACTGTAACTCCTAGAATAGCCTGGAAGCCAGCCTTGCTAATTCTGGTCTCCAGACTTGTGAGTAATCTTCTCATGCCGGTGTTTTCTCTTCCAGGGGGGGAGGGGGCTGGCAGGAGAGGCTAGGTGCACTTTCTCATGTGGCTCCTTGCTCATCTCATCTTTACTGGTGGCTGTAGTCTACTGTGCTGCCAGAAGCAAAGATGCTGCTGCCAGCTTTGTCTGTCCCAGACTTCCTGCTGCATTGCAACCAGATTTGTGTTTGTTGGAAGAGGTTTAATTTAAGCCCTTCGTTTTTACTCAGCCTTAAGGAGGGTCAAGGTGACCAGAAGCTCACCTTATTGCTGTTGGCTTCGGCAACATTAAAAATAAAATGCCTTGGTGCTAAAGTATTAGAGATGCATGTTCCTCTCTGAATTCAGTGTTTCAAGGAAAAGGGATTGCATGTGCTTTGTGTTTGGAAACCTGGGGATTTTCCCAGAGAACGAGACACCCCCCCGGCTCTCATTCCCATCGTCACCAACTCTTCACTGCGAAAATGAGAAGTGTATGGGAGCATCCTTTCCTACAGAAAAGTCAGTGCTCTGGATATTTAGCTTAGCAAGAATAAACAGATGTTAAAAGTAATTTCAGAGAGATAAAAACCTATTTAGATAATCTTCTATCTTCTCCAGGAAGCTTCCAGCCCTGTGAGCTGTTTTTGTTTTTGTTTTTGCATTGGGCTTCGATGCTATCATCTTTTACTGGTAGTCTACTATACATGTCAAAAGAGAAGAAGCAAATGTTGTTGAAAACTGAGGTAATGGTAAGGGTGTATTAAAGGAAACTAAAGGGTAAGACTCGACAGTGGGCATTTTTCTTAAAATATATACCTCTACCCCAAATCCAAATGTTAATCTAGGAGCATGAAGCCCAAGTCAGCCTATAACTTTGTATGTAAGAAAATGTGAAGCTGTGTCAAATGTGTTAGGATATCTTCGCAGTATAGTGTCTGTCTGTCTGTCATCTGTCCGTCTGTCTGTACCTGTCTATCCGTCTGTGTGTTTCTTTGTAGAGGCATGTTTGTGATGAAAGACTGCTTAGAGTTATTATGTAGAGTCTGATACATTGTGGTTTTTAGAACAAATATTTATTTGGAGACCTGTTATGGTAATGTAAAGGGGTGTATGACTTACTTCTTTATGTTTAATGAAATTGTCAAAGGACAAATAAACCTGGGTTTACAATATCACGAATACTTGATCATTGAAAATGAAGGGGAAAAAGCTGAAAAAAAAATAAAGTGTGTTGGATTGAAATTGGTTTGTCTCTCGATTTCTTGTTGCTTGAAGTGAAGCAATGACACCTGCGTGAGCCACAAATGAGCCCTGACCTGATTACTGAGTGTGTCTGGCATCAGAACATTCCATGTAGACACTACTACAGCTGTGTTTAAAGAGCCCAGTGTCCCAGTTTCCATGGACTTCCTACGGGAACAATTTTACGTAGTTCATCGCTTACTCCAGTTCAAAACAGACTTTGAGGCTGCAGCGCTCCATCCTGGAATGTGACTAGACAGAGGACGCTTCCCCACTCCCGCCTGCAGCTTCGCACTCCTGCTTGTGCCCACTGCAAGTCCGGTTGGGGGCGTAGGGCAGAGGCCTCTTCTTGAAACGGCACCATGAGGAACTGGTAAGACTGCTCTTGGTTGCTGGGTTGAAGCAAGAAGAGTCCTAAGAATGGTTACTCTGGAAGGAACACACATCACTGGCTTGTGTCACTAGCCTGAGTCAGGCCCATGAGTTTGTCTAACTTCTTGGACCCCCGAGAAGAATATGAGAGCAAAGGCGGGCATTTTCTGGCTATTGTTGCCCCACAAGTTGGCTGTGCCAAGCGGTTCTCAACGATGCTGGGCTTGTCCTTTTACACATTAGGAAATTCAGGAAAAGCTTCGAGCACAGAAAGGAATGATTCCCAAACGTGAGACTATCAAACCCTTGACAACAAATTAGCTAGAACACCCCTCCCTCACCCTATCCCATCACTTCCAAAAGACAAGGCCACCTTTTATTCCAAAAATAGTCTGGAGCCAGTTTCTGGCACAGAATCTGTGCTCAGACTCCACCTGGATGGAACTTAAAAAATAACGCACATATGTGTTAAAATTCTTCGCATCCTGTGGTGTGACCAGATACTGGGCTGTAACCTGGAATTATAAGTGGGATAATCCCTGTTGCCCCTAAATTGCATTTTTGTCAGTATATTTTATCACCACAACAGAAATAAAATTAGAACAGAAACAAAGATTTGCTCATCCCCACGCAACCAACAGACTAGAGCTATGGGGCCCAGTACAATGTTTCAATATACATGTACAGGGGTTTAATGATCAAGCCAGAGTAATTGGTATGTCCATTGACTCAAACACTTACCATTTCCTTATGTTGGGGACATTCAAACTCACCTCTACCAGGTATTAGAAATACACGGCTTTGGTGTCCAATAGTAACCCCACCTAACGACAGAAAGTTAGAGGCTGTTCCTGACCCATTAAGCATCCCCTCTTCATCCCCCCCCTGCCTCACACCCCTCCCAGCCTCTGCCCTTCCCTATCTGATGCTCTCCTTTTACCAGATCAAAAAGTCCAGCTCCCACATATGAGTGGAAACATGCTAGTTGTCTCTCTCTGTCTGACACATGGTTACACTTAACATACTGTCCTCCAGGTCCAGCCAGATACCGATTTGGACGTCCCACCTGGCTGACAAGCATTTTCCAAATGCAGTGGCATCAGAAACTTCTGGGTGAGAGGCGGAAGGAGGTGAAAGAGACGGGGAAATAGCAGCATGAGTCAGGGCTGAAGCCCGTGGACACATTTAGCCCACAGCGGACTCTCTGGGAAGAAGGGCTTGTCCCGTTTGGCATTCTCCCCTCACATCTCAGGGCACACCGAATGAGTCAGAATGGTCCAAAGTGCACGCATGCCTGGGATATGAGTGAGTGCTGTTTAAAACGGCCATGGTATGTGCAGAGTAAGGCAATAGGATTTCTAGACAATTGCTTACATTTTCTGTAGCCTGGACAACATGTACATACACACACACACACACACACACACACACACACACACACACACACACGTCTGGCTTTAAAAATGAGCAGTAGGAAAAATTAAAGGGTTATAGACTTTGGTCACTTAGTTTCCTTTAACTCAGGATTTTGTTTCTTTTTCTTGTGGTAAAATTGTCAATGAACCAGAGATGGTATCCATGGCTTCAGCACATATGAGCTACAGAAATGCTTTTCATTGCACAAAGTCATAGAAAAGCAAGGAGATCACATCCCCTGCTCACCTTTGGTTTAAAACGCCAGCATTGATGCAGTTCCAATTTATCATACCAACGCAAAACAGTAGACAACTAGGATTGCACTTCGATCTACTGAAATGACTGAGAGCTTAGGCACCGAGGAAAGGGCAAATTTGCCGTGGGTCAAGATACGTTCTTGTCAAACGCTCATTCGTGAGAGCAAGCACAGCTACCTTAGAGATCCATTATAAATGGTCATTTTGCACTAACTGGCTCGAGGATATCTTTAGTTGTACTCGAGTTGCCCTCTAGTGTTCATTATGAAAAGCACATGCTCTGCTTCTATGCTCCTGACTTGAGAGGATGGTGGGTCCCACATGGAAGATCTGGGACCTTTGTTCTGCCGGAAAATACTAGAGTTGAACTGGTTCCACTCAATCCGTGAGCCTGCTTCCTCGGGCCTGTAGAGTGTGGTAGGGAGCTTCCGAGCCTGAGACTTGGGGACGTTTCTTGGTGAGAGAGCTAGGAAACCCAGCAGACGGCAATAGTTTTGGTCATAGCTCACGCTTACTGGCTGAAGAGCAAAGCATCTACCAGCTTGGAAGACCTCTGCATGCTGTCTTCTGTGTGTGATGTTTCTACCCCCCTAACAGCAACCCGAAGCGTCTGAATGTCAAAGGATATTCTCTCTATGTGTTTGTGCAGCTTCATAAATGCCATTAAGGCCCAAGACTGTGCTGCAAAGCCCTCAGCAACACAGTTCACAGAAAGGCTAGCTCACTACGTCGAGGAGCGACGTCACATTAGGGTGTTTCTTGACTGGATGGGTTGGGAGTTGGGAGAAGCAACGCTGTAACTCTTGTCAGCAGCTTTGTGGGTCACGGGGCGCAAAGACCCAGGGTGTAGGGACAAGGGACCAGCCAAAGAAACACACCCTTAGCAGAGCCAAAGAAACACACTTTGGCCCGGCAACCAGAACTAAAGAAATGTACCCTGATCATGAAGCCAGTGCCAAAAGAACACACTTTGTCCCTGGAATCAGAGTCAGTGAAAGAAATGCACCCTGGCCCTAAAACTGGAGCCAAAAGGCTAAAAAGGATCAGAGAAAGAAACACACTTTGGCTCTGAAACCAGAGCCAAATCTGACCCTAATCCTATGCAGAAAACTAACCAATCCTCGAGCAGAGCTCTAGCCAATGTGAGCTCATCACTAAAATCTGACCAATCCCCATCCTGAAAGCCCTATAATAAACCCTGTGTCTGTTCAGCTTGTGACTGTTCGCTACCCAGCTGTCCTCTGCCACTCTGGCAGAGGGCAGCCACTCCCCTGGATTCTTCCCTCCCAATAAACCCCTTGGATAAACTTTGGGTGAAGATCTTTTGTGGTGGTGCCGGAGCAGAGGCGACCCTGGGCAGAGCAGAGCTAGCAGGGCTGTAACAGTTTTGCCAGGGAAACCTTTCCTTGGCACTGCAGAGTGTGGAGTTGTTACACTCTGTCAGAGAAACCTCCTGCCTAGCAAAGCTGCTACACCACGTCCCCAGCTGGACGACCCTCTCCTGCTCGAGCAGAGCCGATACACTGGGAAAGCCTTTCCCTGAGGCAAGGCTGTAAGCTGTTAAATTTACTACAACCTGTGTTAGTCCTTGGCTCCGGAATTCCAGGATACCTTTCCATCTGAGTTGTGTAACACTTAGTATTCTGTGACTCCCGAGTGCCAGAATACCTGACCCATCCTGATTTGCCCGAAATGCCAAACATGGTGTAGCACATGAAGCTTTGTTTGGGGGGTGGGGTCTTTGTCACTCAAAGATATGTTGTCTTCTAAAATAATCTTTGGAAATACGAAACAAAATTCGACTCCATTTGGGAAATTGAATAGTGGACACACCCCAGCCCCTCCCACTCCCCCACTTTAGAGCAGCCTAAGGTATAGTCTAAAAGTGTAGTGGGTTTTCTTTGTTTACTCATTTATTTACTTATTTATTTTTACTCAGATGCCAACCCATGTTCAGCTGTGTTGAGGGCTAGCAAGGGAAGCGGCACCTGGGATGGGGCTTCCCAGGTCACAGACGCTCAGGGGAGAGCCCCGACATCTCCCCTGGCCTGTTTGGGAAAAGAAAGCACATATGCTGCATAGCTGCCATTGGTAAGCCAACGCCCTTGCTTATTTCTGCAAAGAGCTGGCTGTCTTGGAGAGGTTTATGAGACTTCCCCATGCTCACAGAAATCATAACGGGGAGAGATCAAAGTGAGTTTAGGTGGTGGGATTCCTCAGACTCACTGTGAGGTTGAGGATAACCTTGAACTTCTTCTCTTCCTGCCTCCACCTCCAAGTGCTTGGATTGCAGGTGTGCACTGCCATGCTGTTAGTGGAAACCAGAGATCCACCCCAGGGTTCGTGCTTTCTTGCCAAGCATTCTGAACTATATCTGAACGATGCCCACCCCCACCCCGCCCCGGGGTCGGTTTAGATGTCCTTGAATGCCCTGATCACTCCTTTTCTTACCAAATAGGGCTTTATCAAATGGGGTCCAGCTACCATTATTTCTTCCCTGACTGCATGTATGTGTGACATGAAGGCTTGCAGGACGCACATGTATCTGTTTAAATGGAAGAAGCAGGCAGCAGTGGGCCCTCTTCCTTCATCCTCTTAAGTCCATGACGAGCCCGGAATGGAGCGTGGCAATCATCGCAGTCCTTCTTGCCGCTGTCTTCACAGGTCAAAAGACACCCGAGGCAGCCAACCTCTAAGGGTCCTTCTGTCTCTTGAAACAGGTTCGGAACACAGTTCTGGAGACTTATGACCTTTCCCCGCATGGTGTAGACTGCATAAACATTCACTGAATTGTAGCGGAGCAGAGGTTTTTGGGGGAGGGGATGTCAACATGTGGCCTGGGCACATTTTCCAGGGAAGGAACAAAAAGAAGGACATGGATGGCAGGTTCTCTGTCATATGTGGAAACTTAAAAAACCAAACCAAAGCACAAACAAAACAAAACAAAACAAAACA